ACCAATATAAAAAACCATAGAAAACTCTTTCATTTATAGCCATGAGAGCCTTCACACAAGCCGGGGCAAGGCTAGCCAATACTCCGAATAGGCGAGAGTTCACAAAATTTTAAAATAATGGGGGCAAGCCCTAAAGGTAGGCATGAGTTTGACGAGAGATCGATTATTATATGGGAACACCGGATAGGAGAACCGTATGGTACCGTTTGATACTGAGCGTTGGTAACGAGCTGAGTGCCGAGCGCAGTATACTTTTGTGGTGACGTGACATATTTTTGTTGGTCTCTGGACGACGTCTGAACTTTACACAGAATAAAAATTTGAGTTTGAGAGAGTAGTTAGCTACTTTTGTTTCATTCATAAAAAAATAGGATTTGTTGCTATATAAATAACTGTTTGATTACACAAAATAGAAGTATATAAGATTTTAAGCATACCTTAAGATCATATAATGTTATTCATATTAATTTAACAACTTTGGTAGCAAGAGCTCTACATTCAGCTTCTTCAGCTGAAGAGCGACGAGAGATCATAATTTTCTTCTTAGCCTTATGAGAGAATTAATGAGTCTCCTAAAAATTACAAAAAAATAGTAATAATTTTTTTAATATCAGTGAAGTTACCGAATAATGACGTCAATTTAAATTAAGAACACGTAAACTAATTATTAATTCAATGCTTATAGTATGACATTCATATAATTATTATTTTAATGGTTTTCACTGTCGTTAAATCACCAAAAAATTCATCAAATAGATAAATTCACCAACTATGCAATAATAAGATAAATAATTTATACTTTATCACCGACCTCCTTACTGGCATAGATCGACTTGCATCAAACTGACTGCGAGTAGCAAAGGGTTTTGGATTAAATAAGTCATTTTAATTAGTCAAAGTTATTAATTAATCGGCATTATTGCTTCAGAGATTCCCCAATAAAATAGTAAATGATGAAGTTTAATTACATTATTTGATCATTCGTGTGGAATCTATTTGCCAAATAGCCTGAGGTCAAAATTTTCTAGTCTCATGTAAAATAATTATAATGCATATTATATTTTAATATTATTTCATGGATTAAAAATTCTCCCTTCGTACAAAATCTGACATCCAGAAGCCGTGTATTTGTTCTTTTCATGACGCATAGATTACTATGGATAATTTTTTCCAAAAGAAAAAAAAATGGTTACTATG